ATCGGTACCAAGGATGAAAGGCCTCCACAACTGACACAACTCCTTACAGCATAAGCTGGAGTATAAAAACAACTTCAGGACACTTAACACTCAAGAATATCTTAACCAACAGATACCACTTTGACCGCAATACTGAGGAAACAAATCCAATCCTTACCGCCCTTTTCACAAAATTTTTCTGACTCACACAAGCAAGAACCATCTCATGAATTTTCAGCACATCTGCAACATCTGCCTCATATACCCACCAACACTGTTTAATGACAGCTAATAATCATTTTAGTTAAAACTTTCAAGGCACATCAGACGTGCCCCCCACAGAGCACTCTCCTGACACATTACAGCTATACAGATACCTCTCATCCCCACAAAACACACACTCGCTAACTACATCTTCCACTACTGAGCCAACAGCCTGCCTTGCTCCCACAGATACCTCAAACTTCATTCCCCTCTCCTTCCCATTTTTGCTTGTGCTTACCTGCGGCTGTGTTCCAGCATCATGATGTGGTCCCATTTTTCCCCTCTGGGAGCAGAAAAAGGAGGCACCATCCCACTGCCTGATTTACTCCCAGTATTATAGGGCAACATCTTAAATAGCCTCCCAACCTGGGGGAAGAAGAAGAAGGGGTGTTTTCCAGCCCTTCCCTGGCTCCAGGCTTTTGTAGGGTAGAGACCATGACCAGCAGCTGCTCCACATGCTGCCACTGACTGCAGTAATTTGGGTTCCTCCACCTGTAAGAGGGTAGTAGCTCATCAGATGTGATTTCTCGGTAGCAGAGAGGCTTTCTGTTGTGAAGTTTCAGATATCTGGTAGTCAGTGGGAAGCCCACTAACAAGTAGTCTGTGTGCTCAAATTACTTACACTGTGGCCATCAGGAAGGTGTCCTCAGAAGTCTGCTCACAGCCAGCTCCTCCACATGAAACATGCCATGCTTCATGTCCGGATCTCCTGCAGGAGTGCCCAGGCTAGGCTTTCTTGCACAAACAGGAGATAAAAACTTCTCTCGTGCAGCTTAAGGTATTCCATAACATAATCACTGCTGTTCTCAGGTAGCACAGAGGAGATATTGTTCAGGAGGGGCTGTGGGCTTGACCCACCCAACATGTGGGTCTTCCTCCACACCACGTGCGTGACCCAAACAGTAGTAAACTAGGAGAGCTCTCTCCAGGGCTTGAGGTTTTCCTCTAATAGAAAAAAAAAGACCCTATTCTTCTGTTATACTATTTTAGTGTACTCTGTGAGGCCAGGAACCAGCAGGTGATGCTCTTGAGAAGGTCATGGCTGCCAGGCTACCAGCACTCTCTGAAGACATCATCCTGCATGACAATGAACCAGAGAGAAGAGAAAGGGCAAAAAAAGCCTCATTCATCCCTCCCATTACAGTGTGTCCTACAGAAAACACATCCCTTTTGTGTTATAGAATCACAGAATGTCTGGGCTGGAAAGGACTTCCAAAGGTCACCTAGTGCAACCCCCCTGCCATAAGCAGGGACATCTCCAACTAGGTCAAGCTACTCAGAGCTTCATCCAGCCTGATCTTGAATGTCTCCAGGAATGGGGCTTCCACCACCTGTTGGTGGTGTTCAGTGGGTTAAACTGTTGAAAACAAAAAGCCTTCCATATTTACTGATGGAATCTAAAAATACTGCAGTTCTGCTGACAGCAAAAGCAAGCACAGGCTCCCAGAAGCTTTCTTCCCTTGCTGAAGAGAGCCTGTGCTGCTGCAGCTGCCTGACACTGCTGCAAGTGAGGTGAGATGAGCCGAATTGAAAGAGCAAGCTTGGCTTCCCACCCCCTCCCAGCCTTGCTGCACATGGCATCTTCACCCTCTTCCCTCCAGCTGCTCCAGAAGGGCAGAGCTCAGCTCCCACCCCTCCCTCTGCCCAGCCCTGGTACTTGCTGGCTCCAGGTGCCAAGTGGGTGCAGAGGGCCCCTGATGCCCCATGAGGGTGAATGACCAAGCTCATTAGGTAGCACAGGACATCTCTTCACCACCTGCCCTCTGCCCTTAAAGAGGCTGTATTAATTCACAATTTAGATTTTACTACATTTTGGGTGTTTTTCATTGGGAAGATACAGGAAATGCTTGATATACTGTACCTAAGCTGGCACAGCTGTAGGGGATTTTAGTTTACATCTATTTAGCAGTTTGTGTTTTCTGGTTACACTGGCAGCATGAGACCTTTCTGGACAGCTGATTTATTTGGCCAGTATCACCCCAGCTACTGTTTGTGTATTGAGCTTATAATTGCTAGGCTATAGATATTCATGTGTCTGCTTGGTCAGGAAGGGAAACGGTTTGGTGCCCCAGCTCTGGCACAGCCAGAGCTTGCTTGCCTTCCTTCACCTCCTCTTCCTCTTCTCCAGTTCTCTGCTTCCAGATGCAGACACTTCCATATTTGGCCACGTGTAACTGCAAACGCACTTGAGACTTTCTTCTGCTTCATGTTTTAGAGCACATGTGGACAAGAGGAAAAATATTTCCATCTTATGTCTGCTGGCATGTCTCAAGTCTTGTATTTAAAGATGCCAACAACCTCCCAAAGATTAGCTAATCATAATTAATAAAGAAAATGCACTGGCATTGGAAAATGAATTGGCTCCTGTGAGTAGGAAAGTGGCCTGAAGAGGGAATCAAAAGCCAAGGTTTATGAGATGTTAATCCTAGTTTCTGTATTAATTCCCTGTCCAGTGAGGGACACTTAAATGCTTTGTTTGCTTTATTCCTTTCTGAATAGAACTAGACATTAGCTTAGTCAGTGTGGTGTTTAGATTATTTAGCTAATTCAGCACCTCACTCTAATGATGTTAAAATCTTAAAAGCTTCACTGGAAGGATTTGAAGCTGTAGTTTAAGAATTATTGCTCATTTACAACCATTTTTTCTAACACATCTTGGAAGAGTTAAAGGTTAGGTGAGAAGGGAAGATTTTCGTTTTAAAAAGAGACATGCATTTCCATTTGGCAAGATCTTGCATCCTGATGGGAAAATATAAACACCCAGTCTCTGATCTTGCCTCAAGCCGTATTTAATCTCAGAGAGTGCTGTGGTGTAACTTTGCAGACAACAGATTCGGGAAGCACAGGGGGACATTCCAGGCTTCCCTGTCTGCTTTGGAGACACTATAAAGGAGACAAAAAGTACCTGAACCAGGGTGGACATCTCACATAATCCCACACGGAGGACACGCACGACGTTTGGTGGATAAGGGGATGAAACCCTGCCTGGGAAAGCTGAGCAGTCAGCGGATGGAGCCCAGGGGGGAGTTCTCACAGGAGAGGAGATGCTGCCCCTCTCCTCTGCCATAGGGCTGCCTCCCACCACCCCATCAGTGCCCCCCCCCCAATGCCCATGTGGCACTCCGCCCACCACCCCACCAGTGCCCCCCCCCCCAATGCCGATGTGCCACTCCGTGTGCAGTGAGTGGAGCCAGTGGGAATACTAGTGGAGTGTTAAGAAAATGCTGGAGTTGAAGCCTGCAGAGGATGAGGAAATTAAAAATAGGCTGCAGCCAGCCTTCCCCAGCATTTCAGCATCTTCACTGCCTGTTATTCTTGTGACCCACTGAAGAACAGGCAGCAGTGGAAGAAATTAGCTCTTCCACCACCCTGGCAGTGCAGGATGAAATGGTATTTTTCTCTTAACCAGACCCTTCTGCTCTCTGTCTGGTGAGATCTTCTGAAAAGGTGTAAACTGAGTGTTTCCTCGCTTTCTTCAGTCAAATCAAAGGACTCCTCCTTCCCCCAAGTTCAACAAGGCACTTGTGTGGATTGAAGATGAGCTCATTCATTCACATCCTAAAGGGTGTTTGCAGGCTTCCCTTCTTTGTTACAGGAAAGGGCTATTTTTGTAGAACCACTGGACGTCATGGTGCAGGATTTTTAATTCAAGACTTTCATTAAAGAAAGCATTTCACAGCACCATATTATCCAGTATAATCCAGATTACGCCTTTGTACCTACTTTAGCAATGCTATATTTATATTGAAAAACCTCAAAGACAATTCATAATGATATGAGGTGTTGAAATGCATATTTAGATCAGGTGAGTGAACCTCTTGGCCAACAGCTCGTACATTAGAGGGGTTAGAGAGAGTTTCTTCTGCTCTTTGCCCACACTGTGTTGCAGGATGGTTGTGGGACAGGCAAGGCTTCCCTGAGCTGTGGGTTTCAGCTAGCCATGGGCCCAGGACATCAGCTGTGAATAAATGATCAGGTTTGTCCAATGTGGTAAATTCTTTGTGAAGAAACTTTGTAAAGGCTGCTGTGGTGTAGGTTTTTCCCCTCCAGCTTTAACTTTTGTACATCAGCACGATCTTTCATTGGAATTGTTTTAGGAAGTTTGAAGGGCGTTTGCAACTTTTGTTAAGTTGGTTCCAAGCAGAGCCAAGGGCTGCAACACCAGGTCACCTGGCTCCAGCACCAGTTTAGCTGCTTCTGCTTTGTTAAAATGTGCTCTCAGGTAACAGCTTGCGACTGGAGAAGGAGTTGTGCTAAGATGCAGTGCCTCATTAGCACCTTTTTGTGTGTGTGTGCTCCTTCTAGAGCAGTGTTTATAGAGCTTTCTAGAGCCTGTCATCTAACTCTGGGTTGAGTTTTCCCTTTTAGAACTTCTGTGGTAGTAAATGTCCTCCCCAAGAGAGAGCCACCAGGCAGAAAAAAACCAGAGTGATATTCCCGTAGACACAGTACTTCCTTGTAAACTGCCTACAGTGCCTAAGTGGTTACCATTGACTGGGGAGGAATGAGCCAAACCCCAAAGAGGGGCTTTCCTGTACTGGTTTTCCAGTATGCATATGGGTGTAATTCAACAGGAGACAGAATCGTGTTCAAGTGAAATGTGGCTGTGCCTCCGTTTATCCTCCTGAAAAGTGTTTCCACCTTTTCAGCGCCACAGTGGGAGCACAGGAAGTGGGATGCTGTGAGAAGCAGGTCTAAGGGAAGGAATTTGGCATGAACCCTGGCTTTCACTGGGTGTTTTGTTGCTCTCTCCCTAGGAACGTTTGTCTCCGCTTTCACTGTGCTGTGCGGAGCGCGGACCGACCTCCCTGACAGGCACAAGTGCTGTGTCTTTTGGCTGAACATTGCTGCTGCCCTGATCCAGATCCTGACAGCGATCGTGATGGTTGGCTGGATTATGAGTATATTTTGGGGGATGGACATGGTCATTCTTGCAAGTAAGTAAGCGCACTCACCCCTGCGACTTCTCCCCACTGTGGCCGTGTTGCTGGGTCCAAGCTAACGCCCCTGCAAGCCACTGGACTGCACTATAGGGAAGAAGAGCCACAGGATGGGCTCTGCAAGTCCATGAGAAACACAGTAGGCAGAGGAGTCGCTGGGAGGCAGTTGGCAGTTGGCATGGGCCCAGTGACACATCTGGAAGAGCCTCCCAGCCCACCACATGGGTTAAGATCTTCCTTTTGCCTTTATAAAATCAGAAGTGCAGGAAGGGGTGAGGCTTCCCCAGCACTGGGAACCCTGCTCTCTGGAGCCCCTTCTGCCCTGGTCGCATCCGCATGCACGTTTGAACGAGAAAACCCTTTCTCCCTTGTGACTCTGACTGCATCTCTCCTTCCCACAAGGCTGGCTCTGCTCTCAGCAAGCACGCAGGGCCAGCTGTCCCCAGAAAAGCCCTGGGGACTCTCCTGGAGGCTCCCATCTCTCCCCAGAATACATTTACCCAAAGGCTTTTTTTCATGTTTCACAGCGAGTTCTTAGGCTGAGCAGGGTTACTCCTAGAAGGATTTCCCCTACACCCATTAAAGAGCCTCCAAAACATTAGTCTAGGGAAAG